ACTTCTCACATATGTAAGTTAGGAGTACAAGATCTGTGATCAAAATGGGCTGCGTGATCCCAGACACATCACTTACCTTTTCTGAGCCCCAGTGATAACTCAGGATACCCTACCTGCAGGCTTGTAGGGAGGATGGAGGGGGTGGTGGGGGAGTACTTGTGAACTGTGGGGTGACATGAATGTTGTCAGTTGTCAGGGAAGGCAAGTCATGTCTAGTGGGACTGAGAGATAGAGCTACCCTGCAGTGCAAAGGTAAGGGGTAAGCCAAGATGCTCACACCTCCCACCCCCATCCTTGGGAGAGAAAGGGAGGAACATAAACTTCCAGTATGCTTGATACAAGCAACAGTTCTCCTCCCTGGGGGTGGGCAGCAGGTTCCTGTAGACCCCTGGGGTACCCAGAGGCTGTGGGAAGCTGAGCACTAATTAGCTCTGGCTTTCTAATCGGGGCTTAATTGCCTCCTTGTGATGGGCAATTAGGAGGCTGCATCAATTAGCACAGGGAGGTGACAACTCAGCTGGGGCTGGTCAGGGCTCCCCTTTGGCAGGGAGGGAGGCAGGCAGGCAAAGGCTTCCCCACTGTCAGCCCCTTCCTCCCCTTTGAAGGAGAGGGCCCTGGAGCCCTCTCCTTAGCAATTAGGCCTTAGCTCCTTAGCTCCTAGGAGCTACTAGGCTTCTAGGCCTGGATTGTGGCTTTTCTGACCTTGGTTTACTCACTTTCACTGACTCTCTGACGTTTCTGCCCAGAGGAGACTTACATTCTGGGCCTAGCTCTACCACTGGCTCCTTTGCAACTTTGGGGTTGACAGCTATGGAGTCCAGGTTCAGAATGTGGCCTTTGAAGCTAGGTCTCTAGGGTTTGAATCCCAGCTTCACCATTTATTAATTGTGCAACATTGGACCCTTCGTACTTTGTTTTCTCACCTGTAAAATGGAACTGATAATAAAAGTTCCATCCTAGCTACGCATGAGGCTGAGGCAGGAGGATTGCTTGAGCCCAGGAGTTTAAGGCTGCAGTAAGGGACAACAGAATAAGACCCCATTTCTTCTTTTTTTTTTTTTTTTTGAGACGGAGTCTCTTTTTTTTTTTTTTTTTTTTTGAGACAGAGTCTCGCTCTGTCCCCCAGGCTGGAGTGCTGGAGTGCAGTGGCGCGATCTCGGCTCACTGCAAGCTCCGCCTCCCGGGAGTATCTGGGACTACAGATGCCCACCACCGCGCCCGGCTAATTTTTTGTATTTTTAGTAGAGACCGGGTTTCACCGTGATCTCTATCTCCTGACCTTGTGATCCACCCGCCTCGGCCTCCCAAAGTGCTGGGATTACAGGCGTGAGCCACCGCGCCCGGCCAAGACCCCATTTCTAAAAAATAATTTAGGCTAGGGACAGTGGCTCACGCCCGTAATCACAGCACTTTGGGAGGCTGAGGAGGTGGATCACCTGAGCTTGGGAGTTCAAGACCAGCCTGGCCAACATGGCAAAAACCCTACAGGCTCCACTGAAAATACAAAAATTAGCCAGGCGTAGTGCTGTAATCTCAGCTACTCAGGAGGCTGAGGCAGAATTGCTTGAGCTCAGGAGGCAGAGGCTGCAGTGAGCTGAGATCGTGCCACTGCACTCCAGCTTGGGTGACAAAAAAAAAAAAAGAAAGAGAAAGAAAAATGCCCATGTGTCATCTCAGATCAATTACTGAATCAAAATATCCAAGACTTTGGGCATTGACAGTTTTGAAAGCCCCCTTTCTCCAAGCAATGTTGATGCCCAGTGAGGGCTGAGATCACTGGATGAATGGTCTGGAAGGGCTCTATCCAGCCTGGCACAGCACCTCCCTGTCACATACCACCCAGGACCCCTCTGCATAGCCCTGGAGGTGCTACACTTTGGAATAGAGCTCATTACCACCAGTGTGGCTGGAAGCAGGTCCCTCCCCACTTTTAGAGGGAGTTCTCCTCCATAAAATGAGAATAATGACCTTGCCATGCTCACCTCCCAGGGCTGCCCAGACATAATGTTTTACTAGTGGTAGGACCTGCTATAAAGGGAAGCAATTATATTGTTCCTTCCCTTGATAAACTTTTATTGAGGCCTAGCGCATACCCCATCTCCTTTACACATGATGACTATGGAGTTAATAATCTCCTGGAGGGACCTGTCATGAACCATCAAACAAGTTAGGTCATAGGGCCAACCCCCTTTTATAGCTCCTGCTGGTTATGAAATGAGCCAAGGAATGGAAAGAGCCTAGAACAGGTCCTGACACATGGTGAGTGCTCTGTAAACAGTAGCTCTCCTTAACTATTGTTAGTGTGACTGTGCCCCAGGCTAGGTTGGAGAGAGGCCTGGTTGCAGTGCACACAGGGAGCTCAGCGCACAGGGAGCTCAGACAAAGGGAGGCAGTGAAGGTGGGGCCTGCAGGAGGAAGGGGAGCTTAGAATGAGGTGCTGAGGAGTAAGCTGTGTGGGAAGAGTAGAGGAAGGAGTAGAGCACGTTGAGGGTATTGGTTGGTGACAGGGCTATAATGAGGATACTCTACTCAAATATGTATTGAGAACCTTCTGTGCACCAGGCACTGTGCCAGGTGCTGGCAGAGCACCAGATCCACCCAGCCTCTACCCTCGAGGAGTCCCTCTAATGGGGGAAGGCACACATACACAGACAATGTCACAGACAGTGTGACAAGGGATATTGGTGGCGAGTGGGGATGCTTCATCCAGACTTAGTGGCACTTTTAGCTGAGCCTGGATGATGAGTAGGAGTTGATCAGAGGGTAAAGTAAGTGCCATGTCTGGAAAAATTAGGAAGCAATGAGAGAGACTGTGATTGCTGCAATTTAGATAAGGCTAGAGATGCAAGCAGAGCCCAGGTCGCGGAGGGCTTTACAAATCAGGTCAAGGAATTTGGACTTATCCTAAATACAGTGTGGAGCCACTGTTAGTTTAAAGTCTTCTGGAAAGAAAATGAGGCTTTGGTTTTGAAAAGGTCACTGTGAGCTGGGCGTGGCAGCTCATGCCTATAATCCCAGCACTTTCAGGAGGTCAAGGTGGGAGGATCTCTTTGAGCCCAGCAGTTCGAGAACAGCCTGGGCAACAAAGTGAGACCCCATCTCTACAAAAAATAAAAAAATAAAAAAATTAGTTGGGTGCAGTTGCATGAACCTGGTCCCAGCTACTCAGGAGGCTGAGGCAGGAGGATCACTTAAGCCCAGGAATTTTGGGTTGCAGTGAGCTGTGATTGCACCAATGCACTCCAGCCTGCTGGATGACAAAGCAGGATCCTGTCTCAAAAGGAGGGAGGGAAGGAAGGGAGGGAGGGAGGGAGGGAATAACTGTGGGGAGGAGAAACGATGGGAGCAGAGGCAAGGGTGGAGGCAGAGAGACTGGTTGGGAGGCTGCCGCAGTTACCCAGGAAGGAAGGAAGGAAGGGAGGGAGGGAGGGAATCACTATAGTTTATAGAGGAGAAGGAGAAAGGACAGGAGCAGAGGGAAGGGTGGAGGCAGAGAGACTGGTTGGGAGGCTGCTGCAGTTACCTAGGTGGGCGTTGGTGGTGAGCAAACCAGAGAGTTGGAGGTAGTATATAGAACAGATAACAATTCTGGAGGTAGGAACCACAAGGACTTGGGGGCTCATTGGCCAAGGGAGATGAAGGAGGAGAGGCTGAGGAAGGAGGAGCATAGTGGAGCTGTGTGTTGGGAGACGTGAACTCCATCTGAGATATCCAAGCAGTGATGATGAGTTATGGATGCTTAGGAATCACTCCTGACCTGGGAATACTTGGGGTCCTCTTCTAAGAATTCTTAAGAGTGGAAGGCCACTCACCCTTGGCCCAGTGCCAAGCCCTCACCTTCCCTGGCCTCTCTGGGACAGGCTGGGAATTCCTGGCTCACAAACACCCTCTTGGGGCAGGCCGGCCTTGATGCTCTCCAGCCCAAAGGGAGGAACGTGCCTGTGCACCTGCTCCGTGATACACGGGGGCGGGACAGTGGAGTGGAGGTGAGTGAATTCAGGGGTGTTCCTCACTTCCCCTATCCTGGACTTCTAGCCTCAGTTGTGGCCCCATGAATGGATTCTGAGTAAGAGGCCAGACAGCAAGTTCTCTGGGCCTGGGGTACAGAGGGCAGCAAGGTGCAGTTGACATACCGCAGACACCCAGGCAGGGCAAGCGCACCCAGGTTTCAGTCCTGGTTCTGTCACCTCTGGTTAGAAGCCTGGGAGCACCCAAGGGCTCATTCTTGCCTTAAAACTGGGTCTTCAAGACGGTTTGGTTTAGGTGGTGTGAATGAACCCTTCCATCTCCACCCTCGAGAGAGCTGAATTTTCCCCCACCTGAGGTGTTCCACAGTGGGCAGAACGCCACAGCCCGGTCGGCCCTGGTCCACCCAGTGCTCATCTCCATTTCCAGCCCCTCCCGGGCGCCTCTGGCCTCCTGCAGCCGGCTCTTTGTGCTCCCTCATTAAGCTTTGGTTTCTGTGGGAATGTGACTTGAATTAACTCTTGGGAGAAAAATCACAGAAACCAGGAAAGGGGGGCCATGGGGAGGGGACAGTGAGTCACGTTTCCATGTGTATTTTTCAAACTTTCCGATGGGAGTTTGGAAAACAACAGTCTTTTGGTTGCCAGCTTGGCCCTGGCTCTCCAAGGGTCCCACATGCTGTTTCTATAGGTCTTCCAGTAACTGCTGCGCCCCGGCCCACCCTTCGGGTCTGCCTTATTTCCTGGGATCTCTTCCCACTTCTCCCTGGGGACTTGTGCTGTTGCAGAGGCACTGAGAAGTCCCTCCTTGTGGTGCAGCTTCCATCTCTCCCCTAGTTTCATTTCACAGCCAAGCCCTCATCTATCCTTGCCTCAAAGTGGACCCATGGGTGCTGCAGCTGAGCTGGGGACTTTGTCCCTACAGCTGCTCTGGCCAACCCTCCAACCTTGGAGAACCGCCATAGGCACTAGGAAGCCCTGGGCTCTAGGAACCTCCTTCCCACCCCCGCAGCTTCCTCTTTGTGTCCTCCCTACCAGTCCTTCCCGCCCATCTCTGCATCCCAATTTCCAGAGGGCCTGTGGCTGAGGATGAGAAGCCAGCGATCGACCCCCAGGGAGAAGCCTTGCAGAGGAGGGTCCTCACCCTAATAAGGCCGCCAAGGAAGAGGATCCCCAGTATACCCCTCTTGTGTGCTGGGCCCTCACACTTCCTCTGTCTGGGACTCCTCTAACAGCCGTGGGGAGGGTGCCAGGATCCCCATTTTGCATAGAGTAGCTGAGGCTCAGCCAGGAAAATGGGTGGGAACCTTGAGGATGGTGGGCAGACAGTGGCCCCCTTGAGGAGGAGATGGGAGGGCAGCACATACCCCTAGCCAACCCCTCCTTGCAAGCCCTGACTGGGGCGGGGAAGAGGAAGGGGTCCTGGACTAGCTCTCCTCTGTCCCCTCTCCGGGGGCTGCCCCCTCCCAGTTTCTGACTAATCCTTTCCATCGGCAGTGGCACATCCTGCCCCTGCTGTGCCTGTGCCAGCAACAGCCCACATCACAGGGCCACATCTGGCTCCATTTGAACATACCCCACCCTCCCCCTTCTTTATCCCTCACGGCCCTCCACTGTGCAAGGACCGGAGTAGGGAGTGGCCCTCTGGACCCCCTTCTCTGGCTCCACCAGTCCTGCTTCCCTGCCCCTTCGAAGCCTCTAGTGGAGTCACTGCTTTCCTTCCCCGAACCCGGCCTCAGTTCCTGGGACATCCTGGCTCCATTCTTCAGTGCACCCTCCCTCACCATTTCCAGACTCCTTGGCTCCCCCATTCCCAGCCCCCACTGAAGGAGGGTTTGGGAAAGGGGCATTTTGCAAGGTCTGAGCCCCAAGAGATGTCCCAGAGTAGAGGGAAGGCTTGGCAGCCCAGGGATTAATTTCGCCTAGCCCAGCCCTCTGGCGTATTGCCAGCTTGGGCGTGTTGGGGGGCGGAGGTCAGGATGATCCCAAGATGTGCGTGTATGGAGGGGTATAGCTCAGCCTCCCAGCTGGGGTGGGGAGCAGGTGGCTCACGCCTGTGTAGGCTGGCTTTTGTTGGGGAGGAGCCTGGAAGGGCCTGCAGCTACTGGCCTCCCTCCTCCTTCCTCCTTGCTTAGCAACTGTTGTCATCTGGTAAATATTTGCCCCAACAGGATCTGGGGCTGGAGCACTGGTGTCAGCCGAGGTAGTTGCCCGCTCCTCAATTTCTGAGCCTCCCCTCTGTTTCCAGAGCCCCCTGGCCTGGATTCTAAATGTGGGCCTCACCCCCTCCCTCATGGTTGACTTCCTCCCCAACCTCCTCCCTTTCCCCCTTTTACTCTCCTTCATCCCCACTCACCCTCTGTGCCCAGGTCTCTCTGGTCCATCCTCCACTCCTGGATCCATTCACCAAGGGACCTGAGTGAGGTCCCACCCCCTAAGCCACACAGGTCCTTTGCTTCTTCCCCATTACATCTCGCTGGGAGCCCAGCCTGGCTACAGCTCCTAGTACGTGGTTGGTGCTCAGTGAGCCCCAACACACCCTCCACCTCTAAACCTTAGCTCCACCAAGCTCCGAGGGGAGAGAAGAGAAGGCATATGAGAATGTGTTGCTGGACCCCATAATGCATTCCCAGGCCAGGAAGCTCTGCATCAGGAAGCCAGCACCATTTTCACCTCCTCTGGTGTAGGACTGAGGAGACCGTGGCCAAGAGGAAACAGATGCCCCCTTAGCTCCTCCCTGGGTAGCCTGAGTGGGCCAGGACCTGAGAGCATGCCAGCTTTAGCCTGTCTTCCTGTCCTGTCTTCCTGTCCTTCCCAGCCAGACCCCTGTCACCCTCCTCCCCCAGTGGTTTTCTCATTACCTGTCACTGATGGAGAGCCCCCTCAGAGGTCAAGGCCAAAGTGAGGTGGGCTCTTGGTGTGCCGTGCAAGGTTTGAGCTCACCCGGCAAAGAGGGCCAATGGGGTGCTCCTCTGGGGCGGGCCTGTGGGCTGGCTTAGGGATAGCGGACAGGGGAATCTGGGGAGTTGGACTAATGTGGATCTAGAAGAGAGGTGGTTGGGCTGCATGATGCCTTAAGACTCCTCCCAGCTCAGAAGTTCTACTTCTAGGCAATGAATGATGAAACGCTGGCCCAAGTGCAGTCCCTTCCCCATCCCACAGGGTGGAGACCCCGGCCATCCCCTTACCCTACTTGGCAGCCCCCCTCCCCACTCCTCCTGAGAGTGCCCCTTGCTCCACCCTAGTTGCCAGGAAATCTGCAGATTCACCACCATCCTCCTGGCTGGGAGTTCACTTTCCCAGTTGACCCCCTGGCCTGAGGCCAGAGGAGTGCCTTCAAAGGGGACCTTGAGGAGTGTGGGGGCTGCATGGGCTGTGGACTGGGGTGGATTCACCATGCAGCAAAGGAAAGTGAAGCTTCAGGGCCTCTCAGTTGCATGGGCCCTTTCAAGGCCCCAAGAGGAGCCCTGCCAAACTTTCCACACGATCCCATGTCCATAACATTTGCAAAAAGATCATTTTGTATTTCTTAAAGAGGACCTCCCCACAAAATTGTATGCACTTCAGGTTGAATGAACAACTGTCCCTATATTAGCATTAAAAGTCCCTTATCTGGCCGGGCGCGGTGGCTCATGCCTGTAATCCCAGCACTTTGGGAGGCCGAGGCGGGCGGATCACGAGGTCAGCAGATTGAGACCATCCTGGCTAACACGGTGAAACCCCGTCCTACTAAAAAAAAAAAAAAAGTACAAAAAATACAAAAAAATAAAATAAAAATAGCCAGGCGTGGTGGCGGGCGCCTGTAGTCCCAGCTACTAGGGAGGCTGAGGCAGGAGAATGGCGTTAATCTGGGAGGCGGGGCTTGTACTGAGCCGAGATCGCGCCACTGCACCTGTCTCTTATACACATCTAGATGTATCTAGGAGGCGGGGCTTGTACTGAGCCGAGATCGCGCCACTGCACTCCAGCCTGGGAGACAGAGCAAAAAAAAAAAAAAAAAAAAAAAAAAAAAAATCCCTTATCCTAGGTCCCTGGCAAACCCAGGGCAATTGCCCACCCTAGCTTCAGACTCCACAGACATTTGTCTTACACCGGGATGGGGGTAAGGGAGAAAGGGAATCCTTTTCCGCCTCACTTCCTGGAAATGTGTAGTGGCGTGAGCCGTGTGGCGAGGGGGCCTTCTCCTCCAGCTCTAGTCCTGGAGTTGTGGCGCTTCTGTTTGTTCCCTTGGCAACAGGGAAAGGAAACCCCCATTTAGGAGGCCGGGGAGGCCCCAGCAACCGCGCACACACAGAGACACACAGACTCACACGCGGCCGCCCACACGCAGCCGCCTGCGTCAGCAGCAGCCGTCAGGCCCTCGCTGCCAGGCTGCGGGGTGTGGAGTGGGGAGAATAGCCCCGCCTGAGTCCAGTCCGACTACCCGCCCCTACTGATTTGCCTGGGACGCCGCCGGCCCACATGGCCCCACCCACGCCTCTGGGGCCCCGCCCCGTCCCCCCATTAACACCTTCCCCCAGATGGTGAGGGGCCAAAGCTGGGGGATGGACAAGAGAAAGGAAGGAGATGTCACTGCTGAATTTCTGCTGAATTTCCTTCTGCCTGCTGCCCGATTTCTATTTATTTGACTGGCAATAGTCTGGTGTCTATTGTGACAGTTCAGGGAGCCTGAGACTCACAAGTGGGGTGGCGATTTGGGCCTGGTTGGGTGGGGGAGGTGGTTTGGAATGCCGGGAATGGAGCTCCTGGGGAGACTGTAGGATTCCGCTGTTGGATTGGGTTCCTTGGGATCTGGGTCAAAGAGGGAGGGAGTATATTTAACCTGGAGGCAGAAACCTGGGGTTTGGGCCTGCTTCTGTCACTTATCAGCTGTGTGGTCTGGAGACAATCAGTTAGCCTGCCCAAGCCTCTTGTCTCCTCAGCTGTTATATGCAGATAATGGCGCTTGCCTGTGCACCTCAAAGAAATTTGAGAAGGCTAAGGTAGTAACCTTGATTGTGAAAGGCTTGTCACCTGGGGGACCTAGGCAGGTGGGAGGGCTCAGTTACTACTTATTATCCAGTCGCCCCTCAAGCCCAGCTGGCTCAGTGAGCCCAGCAGCCACTTCCCCACATTGCAGGAACCCATGCCAGTCCCTAAGTGGACCAGGTCCTTGTCATCTGTCCAGTGTGGCTGCCCTGTCTCCCGTGGCAGCGTGGCACTGAGCTGGAGTGCTGTCTTGGAGGTTTTGGCCCTGCCTGTCTGTGTGACTTTGGGTAAATCTTTCCTCTTCTGGCCTCAGAAGTCCACTTATAAAGAAAGGGGCTTATTCCTCAGCGCCCAGGGGCCTCCTGGAAGCGGGGCTGGGGGGATCAACGAGGCAGGGGCCTCAAGCTCCCTAAGTAGAGAAGCTCTGCCTGTCATTTAGTAGATTGTGCTTTTTGGGGGAGATTTCATTTGAGCGAGGGGGATCTCTGACTTTACAAATAGCTGTCGTTCACTTGCTCCATCTAAGGGCCCGCTTCTCACCCGCCATCACCTATAAGCCTGCCTCATTTCCCCTTGCTGAGCCTGGGTGAGAAGAAATCTACTCAGCTGTGCTACCTCAGGTCAATTACTCAACCTTGTGGAGTTTGTTTGTTTTTTTTTTTTTTTTGAGACGGAGTCTCACTCTGTCACCCAGGCTGGAGTGCAGTGGCTTGATCTCCTGCCTCAGCTCCCTGAGTAGCTGGGATTACAGGTGCATGCCACCACGCCCAGCTGATTTTTTTTTTTTTTTTTTTTTTTTGTATTTTTGGTAGAAACCGAGTTTTACCATGTTGGCCAGGCTGGCCTTGAACTCCTGACCTCAAGTGATCCACCCACCTTAGCCTCCCAAAATGCTGAGATTACAGGTGTGAGCCACTGCTCCCAGCTGGAGTTTGGGTTCTTGACACATAAAATGCAGATAATAATATCTACCTCTTAAGACTGAGGTGAAGATTAAATGGGATCACCTCCACATAGCCCCTAGCCTGGTTCCTGGCACGTGGCAGCCACTTAAAGAATGGGCACACTCTTCCACTGTCAACGTGATAACTATCACCTGCACACAAGTGACTTAGCACTTTAATCGTTGTTTAATACTCTGTAGTCAAAGGATGAATAAGACCCTCTCTCAAGAACTCACTGTAAAGAGATTCCCAAACCATGTCCTAGGATCTCCAAGTCACCTCCACCTCCTCAGACCCTCCTCCAAAGAGTCGCCTTTCTCTGACTCCTACCTGTCCAGGATTCTAGCCACCTGACGGTAAGATCTTGGCTTTCCGATTCAGGCAAACTCGTATTAAATTTTCAGTTCTGGCTGGGCGTGGAAGCTCATTCCTGTAATCCCAGCACTTTGGGAGACTGAGGCGAGCAAATCACCTGAGGTCAGAAGTTACATGGTGAAACCCCATCTCTACTAAAAATACAAAAAAATTAGCTGGGCGTAGTGGCACATGGTTGTAGTCCCAGCTACTCAGGAGGCTGAGGCAGGAGAATCGCTTGAATTCAGGAGGTGGAGGTTGCAGTGAGCTGAGATCATGCCATTGCACTCCAGCCTGGGCAACAAGCGAAACTCCGTCTCAAAAAAAAAAAAAAAAATCCAGTTCTGTTACTAACCATATGACTTTAGACAAGTGATTCTCAATAGGGGGTAATTTTATCCCCCAGGGGATGTTAAGCAATGCCTGAAGATATTTTTGATTGTCATAACTGGAGGGGAGGTGCTACTGGCCAAAAGTCGGGAGAGGCTAGGGATGTTACAAACCATCTCAGAGTACAAAGAACCTTTCCTGACAATAAAGAATTATCTGGCCCCAAATTCAGTAGTGCCAAGGTTGAGAAACCTGACCTTAAATGAATAATTTAACGTTTCTGGGCTTCAGTTTCCTCATCTGTAAAATAGGGCTATTAATAGTATCTACCTTATAGAGCTATTGTATAGGTCCAAAAAAAATAATGCAAGTACCTAGTGCCTAATAATAAAGGTAGTCCATAAATATTCCTTGCACTAATCATTATTAGCATGCTTCTGGAATCCCTCCTGGCTTCATCACTCAGCTGAGCCCACCCGACCCTAGTTTGGCTTATTTCTTGCCAAGGCCAGTGCTTCTGACCCTTTCTTCACTAGTCTTGATGCTTTCCTTCTCTCCTTGACCTCAAGGCCTATCAGGAAGCTAGAAGCCTCTCCCTCAGGCCCCATCCTAGCACCAGGTCCCTGCCTCCACCTCCCACTTCTCCCTTCTCGTCTCTCTTCCCACTTTTCCAGCCTTATCTCTAGTGGCTCCCCATGCCCCTCGGCAGGTCAGAGCACACTCAGCTCTTTCCCACTTCAGCACCTCTGCACAGACTTCCTCCAGCCAAAGTGGCAGAAGACAGAGAAGCATGTCCAGGATTTGGACCAGACTAGACTACCTGGTCCCAGTTCTGCACTGGGCCTGTTAAGACCTAGTTTTAGGAAAGTCAGCCTCACCTGCAAAGCAGGGAAATAATTTCCAGGTTGTTCTATGGACCCAGTTGAGAATGTATGAAAACATGCAACAACTATAAAGATTGTTAAAATGTAAGTTATTCATTGTGTGAGCACTATTCTGCTAAATGTGTGCATGTGTATGTATATGTGTGTGTGTGTATATATATATATACACATATATATGTAACTTTTTTTTGAGATAGGGTCTCACTCTGTTGCTCAGGCTGAAGTGTAGTAGTACAATCACAGCTCACTGCAGCCTCGACCTCCTAAGCTCAGGTGATCCTCCCATCTTAGCCTCCTGGGTAGCTGGGACTACAGGCACGTGCCACCACCCCCAGCTAATTTTTTTTTTTTTTTAGAGATGGGGTTTCGCTATATTGGCCAGGCTGGTCTTGAATTCCTGGGCTCAAACAATCTGCAGTCTGCCTGTCTCAGACTCCCAAAGCATTGGGATTATGGGCGTGAGCCACCATGCTCAGCCTCTGCTTTACATTTTTATTTCCATAGCTCCTACCATGTTCTAACAAACTATAACTTTTTCTTTGGTTTATTGACTGTCTCCCTCCACTGGAATGTCAGCTCCATAAGGGTAGGGATTTTTGTCTGTTTTATTCACTGTATCCCTGTTGTCTAGAATAGTTCCTGGTATATAGTAAATGTTCAGTAAATATTTGTTGAACGAGTGAATTCTCTATGTATAAGGCAACTCTGTAAAGCCCCTAAATCTACCTTCTCCAAGAAGCCCTCCTTGAAATATATGTTACCTTATTTAGTTATTGCACATCCTCATTTTGCAGATGATGAAACTAAAGCAGAAACAAATGCAAAAACTCTAGAGTCACTGCCTGAAAACTGGCAGGGCCAGATGCATTTGTTTATCCAAGAAACCCTGAGAGGGCTGGGCATGGTGACTGGCATCTGTGATTCCAGCACTTTGGGAGGCTGAGGTGAGGATCACTTGACCCCAGGAGTTCAAGACCAACCTGGGCAACATAGCGGGACCCCATCTCTTAAAAAAATAAAGAGGCTGGGTGCGGTGGCTCATGCCTGTAATCCCAGCACTTTGAGAGGCCAAGGCAGGCAGATCAGCTGAGGTCAGGAGTTCAAGACCAGCCTGGCCAATATGGTAAAACCCCGTCTCTACTAAAAATACAAAAATTAGCTGGGTGTGGTGGTGGGTGCCCGTAATCCCAGCAACCCGGGAGGCTGAGGCAGGAAAATCGCTTGAACCTGGAAGGCAGAGTTTGCAGTAAGCTGAGATCGTGCCACTGCACTCCAGCCTGGGCAACAGAGCAAGACTCCATCTCAAAAAAAAAAGAAAAAAAAAGAATAGAAACACTGAGTGCCTGCTGTGTCACAGAGGGAAGACCAGGATGCTATAAGAACACAGAGAAGCCCCCCCACCCCCACCAAGATCATTGGTCTTCAAGATAAAGTGCCCAGGCCTGGTGCAGTGGCTCGCGCCTGTAATCTCACACTTTGGGAGGCTAAGGCAAGGCGGGGGATCACTTGATGTCAGGAGTTCGAGACCAGCCTGGCCAACATGGTGAAACCTCGTCTCTACTAAAAATACAAAAATTAGCC